GGGGGGGGGCCTGGGTCCAGAAATATGTTTCTGCTTTTACTGATGAAGATAATGCCTCCCTGCGGGCATTGCCGGATTATGTCCGTAGCCCAGAAGGTCTGATTTATTCTGGGGACAAACTGTATGTGCCTATTTCAATGAGGAGGGAAGTGATGGATTCTGCTCATGGTTCCAGACTGGCAGGACATTGGAGTTTTGTTAAATCACTGCAACTCATCCGCAGACAGTTTTGGTGGCCACACATGCGCAAAGACCTATTGACTTTTGTTCGATCCTGTCAGACCTGTGCCTTAACTAAACCCAGGGGGGGCAAGCCTCCCGGTCTTCTGCAACCACTCCCTACTCCATCGAGGCCTTGGGAAGTGGTGTCCATGGACTTTATTACTGATCTCCCTGTGAGCAAAGGGAACACTGTTATTTGGGTGGTTGTTGATTTATTTTCTAAGCAAGCTCATTTTGTGCCTTTTCCTTCCTTGCCTACAGCTCAGAGGTTGGCGAAATCGTTTATGTCTCACGTGGTGAAAATTCATCAATTACCTGCTAAATTAATTTCTGACAGGGGGACCCAATTTGTTTCTAAGTTTTGGAGGGAACTTCTTTCCATTTTAGGGGTGGAACAAGGGCTCAGCAGCGCGTATCATCCTGAGACTGACGGACAAACAGAACGAGTTAATCAGACCCTGGAGCAATATCTTCGTTGTTTTACTAATTATCAACAGAATGATTGGTGTGAATTGTTGCCTCTTGCTGAATATTGTTATAACAACACTGTCCATAGCTCCACGGGCATGTCTCCTTATAAAGCTGTTTCTGGTTACGACAGCCCCCCCTCCCTTTCCTGGAGGGGATGGGCCAACGTCCTGTGGGGGATGCTGATACATGGTGTATGTCCTTGCAAAATGCATGGCCTCTGCTATGCCAAACGCTTGACGCAGCCAAGGCTGCTTACAAGACCCAGGCAGACAAGGGTAGGGTGGTGGGGTTTGATCTGAAACCTGGGGATCTTGTGTATGTCTCGACCAAGAACATTAAGATGCTGCGACCTAGCAGGAAATTGGGGTGGAAGTTCATTGGTCCATTCAAAGTGCGTAAAGTCATAAATGATGTGGCGGTTGATGTTGTTTTGCCTAAGAATTTACGTGCTCTGCATTCTGTTTTTCACATGAGCCTGTTGAAGAAGGATCCTGGCCCGTCTCCCTGGAGACCAGCAGTTACTCCTCCTCCACCTGTCATTTTGGAAGGGGATGAACATTTTGAGGTCGCTGATATCCTTGATTGTAAATTGAAACGTGGTAAACTCTGGTACCTTATCGAATGGGTTGATTTCGGTCCCCAGCACCGCGAATGGGTGGAAGAAGGGGATATTCGGGCCCCTTACCTGATCCGCAGTTTCCACAAAAGGTTCCCGGACAAACCGGGAGGCCTCCCGCCCAGCCCGGGAGATCTCCCGCCCGACCCGGGAGGTGTGTTTTAAGTGTATTTTAAGGGGGGCAGTATGTCAGCAAGCTGCCATTCTGTTTTCTGTGACCTCTGTGTACATATTCTTTCCCTGTTGCACCCGGCTTATTTTCTATCATCCTGCTCCTGCGTTGGAATGCACAAGATAACTGCTGGAGGTTGTGTGGGGGAGAAGATGCTGTAATGCTTGCCTATTGCTTTTCTCATGAGACCTGCACCTGTGTTTTGTCTGATGTTCTGCCTGGTTCCCATGGACTGGGCGCGCAACCGTTTCATTAGCCCGCCAGCGGGAATGCTATTCATTGGATCTGTATCTGTTTGAATTTCCTTTATTATGCTTGACCTAACTGTGTATCCCCAGTTCTAACAAAGAACGTGTTTGAGTATGTCTTCAACGCTTTGAAATAAATTTTGCTTTTCTTGAAAACGTGGATTTATTCTCGATGCTTGGGGATCCAACAGGGTGCAGTTCTAAGGCAAGTCTATAAACTGTTTAGAATAACAACTAAATCCAGTGTCAATGTAGCTTGGAGATAACACTGATAGGTATAGCACGCCACCAAAACCATACTGGGGTAAACCCAGTGCTGGCACAACTGTCAGAAATGAGCAGCACCGTGGGCATATTTGGAGAGGAAGAGGAATTTAGTTGGTATCCAAAGACCCATCCCTGACATTATGTTATGCTGGAGAACACACTGGCATAAATATAAATGCTCCCACTAAAAGCAATGGGAGTGACAAGTCCCCCCAACATGCACCCCTTCCAAACTCACACAAACCAATTGGTTGAGTCTGCAACCAACTGCAACTATCCCAAGTGCAACATAAACCCTAGCCATAACACCCATGTCTCAGATGACAACAGGGCATGCATCACAGAGCTCTGGCCACATGATGTTGGGCACACTTAGAACACATACCCATATGGGACGCTTTTGTAACAGGAACTCTCAGGGAAAGGACACTTTGCACAAAAAGAAAGTGCTTTAGATAAACAGCCAAAGAGGAGAACAAACATTGTTTCAGCATCTTGCTAATGCTTCTTTGCTCAGAACGCTTACAGGTAATCAATTTCAGGACAAACACCAACCTGGTCCCTCCATCTCGCTAAATGGGGGTGCAGGAACAATGCACCTCACACAGGTGAGCAAGGGAGAGAGATCCCCTACCTGAAACTTTGACTGCTACAAATGCTCCCTTCCCCCAGTCAATATGTACCTGCTGGATAGTGCCTTTACATCCCTCCCTCCCTCAACATTCACCAGCACTGTCTCCCACACAGGGGGCCCACAGTAAGTATGTACGGTGCAGAAATCCCCCATACCACTTGGAGATATGTTGGTAGGACATCACTCCATTAGCAGCACATCATCTCACACGTGGAGGACACACAAAGTACAGCATTTTACTCCAAACATTGCTAGTGCTGACCAAACACTCACAACCCCTTTTGTCTCACAGGATCACAGTTCCCTACAGTACTCTCAACAGGAACTGCAGAGATAGTTCCAGTGCAACTCTCTACTAGGAATATTGGCCCGGTGACTGAAATATCTCCCCCAGCTGGAGAATTCAACCGTGTGGGAATACCCAAGCAGAAGGGAGTGGAGCTGTGGGAACACGAAGAGGACGTGGGTGGAGCCACTCTCTCCCATCTCCAGCTCATCCTGGAGCCCTCTTGCTGTTTCTTGCTGCTAGTGAACATCACTCACTACATGTCTGGTGTCTGGAGCAGCCAAGCAGCACGAATGGCCTCAGTGCCTGGGGAAGATGGTGCAAAACCTCAGCTTGACAACAGGAAACATGTCGCAGGCTGGGAGTCAAATGCCCACAGCGCTGAGGAGTGCAGTAGTTACAGGTCTCCTGTCAGGCACACCACCGGCCTCCCTCTAGTGGGAAGTAGTGCATTTCCCATGTTCCTTCCTTTGCTGCGTTCTGTGCTTGAGTGGGGGCAGGCATGTTGGCTGCCTGCTTCCATATTTGGTTGATATTGGGGGGGGGGGGATCATCTATAGGCCACTCAGTGGTATTGCTCTGAGCTCCAGTGCAGTTGCTGTTTCTTTTCTCTGTTGAAATGAGCATAGGATACTGACACGCCGTAATATCTGAAGTGTAGGACTGAGCTGCCTGTCATCTTAAGCAGATCAGTTTTCAGGGCCGTAGCCAGCAGGCGGCACCCCCTATCGAATCTCCAGCACCCCCACGGCTGCCTCCCTCCCTCCTCTCACCCCACACTGGGCCTTCCTTCCTTCTTCCTCCTGTTGGTGGGGGGAGGGGCAGGAAGAAGGAAGGGCAGATTACAAGGGCCGGTGCTGGCCGACATCGGGGGGGGGAGGGGAGCCTGGGGTGTGCAGCACTACCTGGCCCTGTAATCCGCACTGGCCTGCGCCGGCCCTTGTAATCCACCCATCCTTAGGAAGGAAGGAAGGAAGGAAGGGGCCCACAAGGCACCGCACACTCCAGGTTCCCTTCTCCCCTCCAGAGAAGGACCTGGCCTTTGCACCAGCAGCAGTGAGGGCTGGCTCAAAGCAATTCCTGTTACAGGTGCAGCTTGTTGCTAATTTAATTAGCACAACCCCCCCCCCCTCCAAAAAAAAACTGGCAACCTGCAACAAATAAATTCCTGGCTACGGGGCTGTCAGTTTTCTATTTACGTTTTGCTAGGCTGATATACAATTCACCCTTCAGTTCTCTCACCATAACTTTCCTGGCTATGTTCTGCATACAGCCTTGAGTGGGGCCATGGCACATACAGCCGCGGCTGCTCATGAAGTCTACCGTGCTACTTCCTTGCTGCCAGAAAGAGACTCACCGTTCCAGCTGTAGTTCCTCGTCATAGGATGGGGGATTGGATCCTGGTCGTGTGTTGGTCAGAGCTTCCCATATAGTAACCTGATGTAACATACAAGAGCATGCTAAAAATCAACCACATTACTTATCCCCTCTAGCTGGATTCAGTGGCTGGTCTTACTTGAGCTAGTTGTAGACTCACAGATTTAGAAATGGAAATACTGAATCACCTGTGTGCACAGGTGAGATTAAGATTTGTAAAGCATTTTGTACCATCTATAAATAAAATAAAATAAGCGCCACCTGGGAGCTGGCTTGCTACAAAGCCTAATTCATCCTCCCCTTGGCATCCATGTAGCCGTGGCTAGGCCACCTTGCAATTGCAGCCCTCTGAAAACCATTTGCCTTGATTCCAGGAACCAGAGGGGTGGGTACTCGTGTCTGCCTGCTAACAGGCCAGCTCCTGCCCTCACCTGGTCTGTCTCTGTGCCAGCATCCAGAAGGCTCTGCTGAATGGCAAACTGAAGTAAGTCGTCATCTTCATCCCTCATGGGCTCTGTACGGCCTGCACCCAACATGGTGTAGCCCTGGGGCACCTCAAATACTGATGGGTCCACCTCACAGGGAAAAGGGTACACTGGGCCCAAGGAGAAAGACACAATGGTTAGCATGCTGGTCAGGGACAAAGGAGCCCTCATTTCCATCATTTCTCATGTCACCAAAGACCCGTCAGTCCACCTGTGCCTCATTTCCCCATCTACAAGATAGGCTCTTGAAAACTTTTGCCACACCAAGTCTCCTTACGGTAAGAAGCCAAAGGTTGAAGTATTCCCAGGGGGGTATAAGTCGAAAAAAGATGGCAATGTGCTGGCAGAGCTTATTGCTAATTTATTGTTATTGAAGATGACCAAGTAAAAAAGCTTCATGTCAAAAAATATCAGCAGTCGTCCCACTGTCTTCCCACCACACCATCAGCGTACTTGACTGGGCGGGCAGGCAGATATTCACCTCCTAGTGATCAGGATAGACCTGGACAGATCCTCTCTCTGACTCTAAGGCTACCCTTCAAGGCCATCCATGACCCAAAATCTGTGCTGGAGGAGAGGCAGCCAAAGGGCGGCTCAGGCTGAGACAGGGAGAACACAAGGTCCAGTACTGGTCACCACCCTGAATACATATGGCTGGCGGGTGGGTGGGTGGGGGAAGAGAGTCTGTCTCCCTCAGCAACTGTTCTCTCCACCCCGGGAACAGGGGCTCACAGAACCACTGGGCACCCATACCCATTGCTGTTCTATGCCTCCTTCCCACTGTCTCCTCACTGCTGCTGGTGCAAAGTGGCCACGTGACCTCTTTCTCTCGGCCACAAAAGCTGTATCCTCTTGCCCACCCCACCCTCATGCCTCTGCAAAGCTTCAGATCACGGAAGGCACCGCTCAGAGAGAGCCCCCACCCCGTCTTACCTTTGGTGCCACTGGCTGCTTCTGCCCCGGCACTCAGTTCCTCAGTGCTCTCGGGACTGGGTGCGGGCGGACAGATCTGCACTGAGCTCAGGGGCTCATCACAGCCACAAAGATTACTGAAAGTGATCCGAGCGTTCAGCACATGGAAGAGGGGGATCTCTGAGAATCAGGTGGAAGATATGCAAAAGAAAGTTGGGGAAATGAATACTGGCAAAGCTCTATCCTCAAGCCCCTCTATTTCCCCACCTGATCTTCTTTCCCCCACATTTACTCATCTGCCTCCAGGCTGCAGTTAATTCTAGCTCACTAGTCCTCCAGCTCTGTCTCCTTCTGGATGAGTTCCAACTTCCTTCTCCCCAACCACCCACTGCCACCAATGCCCTGCATCTCTCACCGATTTTGACAGGGAAGCCAGGCGGCAACTTGAGGGTAATGAAGTCACGCAGCTTGGCAAAGTGGGCGTTGCTGATAGCCATCAGATCAATTATGGGTGTTACCTGCTCCACCAGGGAGAGGGGATGGTCCTCACACAGCCACAGGGTGGCCTTGAACCTGGCAAACATGGGAGTGCGTCAAATCCCACAGAAACCTCTTAGCACAGAGAGATCGGCCTGCAGTTTGCAGGGCCATGCTTTCATTTCCCTGCAGACCCTTTTCCAAGGGGCACGTGCAAACATCCTGACTCCTTGTTCCACTGCTTCCACCCAAACCCTGCCATGCACCCTCCCACTGCGGCACACCTCACCTCTGCACTTTGCTGGACATCTCAATAGGGCGACCGATATTGCGAGACTCCAAGTTGAAGTTGGGGTCAAAGTATTCCTCAGGGGTAATAGCCGTTGGGTTGGTGGGGCTCGCGGACTGCAGCACAGGAGCCTGCAACGGTAGGAATCAGGAGCCACCGACATGTACCCACTCACCCACGATGCAGCTTGCTCCCCCCCTCCCCTCCATGCCATCTCCCCGCCCCGACTACTTGCTCAGCCTCATTGGTGAGGCTGGGCCAGGGTCCCTTCCCCCCGTGCACAGATGGGATCTGGCCCTGTCACTCACCCCATTCTGGGCCGCATGCTGCTGGGCTATTCCCAGGAAGGACTGGAAGGGGGTCTTGGAGCCTGTGGGGAAGGAGAGGAAGCCCAAAAGAGTGAGTCCAAAGCCTGCCTTTCTGGAGATGTTTTTTCTCTGCCTCCTTATTCATGCCCACGGGCTAAGTGATTATTTATATTTTGGGGAAAGATTTAAACTAAGATTTCCAGATTCAACAAGGTACAACACTTCTCTGCCTTTCATAACCACTGGACCTGTCCCATCCCCTCTTGGACTTCCTTGGCAACCAGCCACAGTGTGCTATAATAAGGCTCCTGCTTTGACTTATTATAGATTGCTTTCATTAGCAGACTTGATGGTTTCTGTTGAGAAAGAAAGGTGAGATAGAAATGTAATAAATAAGCAACAGTTGCTGAGTGGGGAAATTTGGCAACTTTCCTCACTGTTGCAGCACTGTGATGAGAGAAGCCACTTGCGCTGTAGTAACTAAGCACGCTATCAAACGCTCTGGAATGTGTGTGAATAGAGACTGGCTGCTCTTCAAAAGGAGAAGAAGAAAAGTAGGTTTTTATACCCCGCTTTTCTCTACCCAAAGAAGTCTCAGAGGAGTTTACAATCGCCTTCCCTTCTTCTCACCACAACAGGCACCCTGTGAGGTAGGTGGGGCTGAGAGAGCTCTGAGAGAACTTTGACTGGCCCAAGATCACCTAGCTGGCTTCACAGGGAGGGGTGGGGAATCAAAGCCAGTTTGCCAGATTAGAGTCCACCGCTCGTGATGACTACACCACACTGGCTCTCTGAGGGTTCCCTTGTAATGTCCTCTACCCCCCCTCCCCCAGGCAAGAAGGGGGGGATTTCTGCCTTGCCAAAACCCTGACCAATGAATGTACACAGCAGCAGAACAGACAGCTGTCATGGGCTACCACAGCTGGAGATGGCAGGAGGACAGCACGGTTTCCTGGGCATATGTTTGGGCAGTGGGGTTAAGTACCTGTCAGTACAATGTACTTTTAGTGGCACTAGTTGCTACACAAGTACAGTATTCGTAATAGAGGGGGATCGCCCTGTTGTGCAATACATGGTAAGTCTGAGGCACGATTGCTTCAGGGCAAAACTTGACACAATGCAGGATATCCAGAATCAGATTGCCTGCTTTGGTTTTATTTTCTGTTTTCTCCAAGACAGCTGTGTACAATTGCCAAGACCTAAACACGGAGGGACTCCTGACCTGAAATAGCTGGGGGGGGGTATTATTTGCCCCGCAGGGGGAGCAGAATATGTACTGAATGCTCCTGAGACTGTTTCAGTTCAGGAAAAGTGTGGAGTGGGCAAGGCTGAAGATTCCCCCCCCCCCACTGCAGTCTCAATCGGAATCCAGCCCCTGCAGGCTTTGGAACTGAGTTCCCACCATGGAGCTGCTCTGTGGCTACAAGTCCCCACGGCGGCGATCATTTATGAAATGCAATGTGTGTAGTTTGGCCCTAGTTTGATGGGGGTGCAATGTTGGGGGAGGGCTAAACCCTTCCTCCCTGTACAGTCTCCCTAATCTAAATTGTTTAATTGACAATTTAGATCAGGGGAATGGTTTAGGAGAAAGGGTTAATCCTTACCCAGTGCAGCTTTCCCAATCAAATTAGCAATGCAACACAGCTGCTTTGTAGTAGAAAAACAAACTCAAGGGAGGCCTGGTTTTGGAGGGCCTGAGTCACACCTTGTTTGCTCCTTTGTGTCAGGTTTCAAAAGGCTAAGGAAGCAGTAGGGGTTTTTCAACTATGAAGGTTCAAGCCTCCAAGTCTTCTTCTCCTTTCTCAAGACTGACACTGGAGGTCCTGGACAAGCCCTTAGTAGCTAACATAGTGGTTCTGCACCCTCCAAGCTCCTATGTACCTCTCCCCACTTGGCATCTTCCCAAAATTCTTTACAAACGTCTACTTCCTGCATCATTTACTCTCTAGCTTGAAGTAACTAAGCTGGCAGCAAATGGTAGCTAGCTAAAAAGAGCCTTGAGAAACAGGAGGGAGTCCTTATTCCATGCCATGACTAATGAGGACAAATCACCAGAGGCCAGAGGGCAGCAACTGCCAGAAAACATAACATACAAGTGGGTGGAGCTGGGGGGGGATAATTTGCAGAACGTGTGCGGGGTGGCGTTGGTTGAATCAGCACGGAATCACAACTGGAGGGGGTTCAGGTATGTTTTACCCTTGTTGCGTGTTTTGTCCTGGTCTGATAGGTGCTCTGTACGGGTTTTGGTGACAAGCTCCACATTGATGGCACTGTAAACCTGGAGAAACACAAAGGCCACCGATAGCATATGATCCCATCCAACACAAGCTTTACAGGAAGCCGGGCTAAACCCTGCCCCATGGAAGTGTGCTATCCATGCTGGGTAACTACGCCCACAAGTTAGATTCAGGTGGGTAGCTGTGTTGGTCGGAAGCAATGGCAGAAAGTTTGAGTCCAGTGGTACCTTTAAGACCAACACAGTTGAACTCTGGGTATAAGCATGCATGCACACAGAAGCTGATACCCAGAACGAAACAAGTGAGGTGGAGAAGAGGTCTACCTTAGCTTCATAGCCACTGATGCTCTCCATCTTCTCCGAGCGCCAGCCCCAGATGCCAGATTTGTTCCTGCAGACAAGGGGGAGGCCCTAAGTCAGGCATGACAGAAGAATCCCTGGTTCAGATAGGATGCTTCCTCCCTAGTTTAAAGACACAGACTTCTTCAAATGCAGCTTTTGCATGCAAACACACAATGAGAATCCTAACCAGCGTTATTCAACCCTGTCCTTTGAATTGCAGGCTGATTGGGGTCTTGACTCGTCTTCCCAAAGTGGTCCTTTGGCAAAAATAGTTGCTAATCTAGGCAAACTGGATGGAATTCCTTTTCCCCCTATGTGGCCCACGCGTGGGCCTCCTCCTCATGCCCTCCAGCACCAGCAGGTGTTCCCCTGGGGCCATAGCCACGCCCAGAGCCTCCCCCCCCCATCCCAACTCACCGCTCAAAGGCAATGTTCTTGGTGTCGAGGTGGGTAGAGACGATGGGTGAAGTGAGCCGACTGGCAACGTGCTCCTCTGAAGGCTGCATGGCAGCTAGCATCAGCTCGGGCTCATGCAAGGCCAGTGACAATGTTTCCGTGTACACCACTTGCTTGTCGTGATCCACCTCCATCACCACAGCATTCTCATCTGGCCAACCGGGGGGGGGGTGTGTGGACAGAGA